TGTGGGAAGTAGGAGGACAATATTGCTAACACTTGAGGGCTCATGGAGGGTTGTATGGTAGATTCCAGGTAGATCTTGCGTGCACGATTGCTGCTGGGCCAAGCATCACCAGCACCGCTCGCAAGAGGGCGTTGAGCTGCGTAGCACTTGCTTCGTGCATCGCCTCCAAGCTCTTCAGCCTCCGCTTCGTAGAGCCAAGCAACGAGTATGGCGCAACAGGGTGTACATGCCAATTCCGTCAAGAGACTGATCCCACATCTTGTCCTGCCTTAGCAAAGAGAGCTTTCAGAGGCGGGCTTTCGCTGGAGCACCACGCACACTCCGTCACCACAGGAGTTCACTCACTTTTATTTCCCTCACATTCTGCCCTTTGCAGGATGAGACCGGCCCAAGGGGCTGCGACTTGAGCGCGAACAGGTCCACAGAGCGAGCGGGGCCGTGGAGCTGCATGCACCTCCTCAGCTTTGGAAACCGGTGTTCCGGGGGAGAATCCCACCACCAATGCCAAGCCAAGCATCTGTGAGAATTCGTCGTAGCTGACCTGTGCCACGGCTTCTCTGTGGTACAACACTCGCATAGAATGGCGACAGAGTTGGAAGGAGAAAGCGAACCCGGTGCTTCGCGGCAGCGAGCTTCTGTCATAATCCCCTGCGATAAGATTTCCGTAGCTTTCGAAAGCTTGCGTGAGGGTTCATCCGAGGTCAGAGATTTAGTCTTCTTGGACATACAAGGCTCAGCGCCCTTTCGAAAGGGGCCCCCCTTCCCCTCCTTAACAGACAAAGGGGAAAAAGGATGAGAGAAAGATCGTCCTCCCCCCCACTCCACGAGAGGGGGGGAAACCGGGTGCTTGCGACGCACGGCTCCCTTGTTGCTGCAGTGCCGTATCTTCTCTCGATGATGCCGATGCCTCTTGATGACATCACACAAATGGGAAACCATCAAAACCATTCAAAGCCATTCAAACCAGCCCGATTCCCATGCGGAGGTGGCATTGACTCCTCACTAAGCCACACGCTGACAGTATCTTGCTGCGACGCAAGCGAAAGTGCCCTGAAGAGGCTCCGAGAAGTTTAAGAGTGCCAGCGAAGCGCCAAGTGGTCACGGTCCGCGTCCAGACTGTCAAAAAGCGTCCAGGCCTCGAGCTGCCGGGGGGGAAGGGCGACATCTAATCCGCCGAGGCCTCCGGCCGAAGGCGTATAGGTTGTGAGAACAGGCACCCCCCAAATCCTCCCCCCAAGCCGAAAGCCAGAACCAGAGGCAGTTGAAGCCCCACCCAGCAGGACTCCCCCCCGCCCACTGCCCCCCCCCTGCCCCCCCCCCCACCCCCCCGCAACCCTAAACTAACCCTCAACCCTGCACCCTCCATAAGCCCGGAACCCTAAACCCTAAACCCAACCCTCATTGCTTCGGGTGCGTAGCGTTAAAATTAGGTTCACGCTTTAAACTTCACAGTTTTCCATCGACACCGAAACACATCCACTGCGTTGATCTCGATTGCGTTGAAGAACGTCATCATGTCCTGGTCAGAGGAGGAGGGAGCTGTTGTACGTCTTCAAGAGATAACTGATCAACTTCCTAATCAGAATGATGGTTGCTAGCCACACTGGAATCTGTTTGAGCCACAGAGCGGAAACAACGCAAATCTTGGAACAAGAACCAGGACCATATTCGAAACACAAGTGCAACTGCGGAAAATGCGGAAAATGCACCCTGAGGCGTGTGTCGGCACATACTCAAGGAGGCACGCCAACCGACTTATGAGGAACACGTGACCATATTGGCTGGCACAGGATTCGTAGTAAGTCCTGACCATGGTGATCCATGGTGCAAAGATAGCATGTGCCAGGGTCCCCAAGCTTTCGAAAGCCAACCCCCCCCCCACACCACGATTCTGAGTTGAGGGAGCTGGGATGGATCTTCCTGCTCCCTGCTTGGATGTCCAAAGCCCACCCGACCCTTCGCTGATGTTCGCACCGAGCCCGTGAATGATGCAATACATCGAATAAATCTGCCTGCGAATACACACAAACTTGAAGTGTCTAAAAAAGGGTCACATTCTGAGGGGCGCCCTGATGAAACTTGTTACTCTCAACTTATTCTAAGGGGGGCCCGAAGATGACGTGGCCCTCAGCGGCCTCGTCTTTGAAGATCTTTTCGAATTCGGAGATGGTCAGCTGGCCCAAACCACTGACGTCGATCTTCTGCCAAACCTTGGCCACCAAGTCCTTGAAGCGCTGCACGTTTTGCCTCAAAAATCGCAAAAAGCAAACAAAAGCAAACAAAGTCACCCCGAATGGACGTGGGCATGGACTGTGGACACTTCACTCTCAGCTCTGCTTTGTCTCCAAGACACAGCATGGTTTCGTGGTCCTTCTCACGTGTCTTGATAGCACTGTTGACCTCAAGGTGAAGAGGGATCGCTGGGACAAAGTTAGGGACACCGTGCGTAAAACCAAACAAACTGCTTCGTGCAGACGAGAGTCGAAAACTCCAGTCATGACGTTCAAAACTGCAAATCCACAGAAAGCAATATACAGGTTGAAGAGCTGAACCCAGAAAATGCCAAGTGGAAGCAGTGAGTCTGCAGCAGCCTTCCAGTCCATGCCCGCCAAAATGGATTGGAAGAGCGTCGTGCAAGATGAGTAGACGCTGCCAAAGTGCTCACTCATCACCTCGTCATGCCCCACCCTGAACATGTGGTCTTGGCAGGCATCTGTGAACAATATGGCGAAGCTGTAGATCACAAGTACCAGCAAGATCAAAGCCCAGACGAGTTGACGGGTGGTGTCGATCACCGACGACACCAATGCCCGAAGCGCTCCAATGAACCGCACGATTCGCAAGGACCGCACCACTTGCAAGAGCCTGGTGATTTTGAACACCTGAGTGGCAACTTGTCACACGGAACTTCTTACAACACAGCAATGACAGCAATGAGGCAATGGGGCTGGTGGGATTTCTAAGCTGATGTCAAAGGTTCAGAAGCTGGGTTCAGCTGTTGTGGGTTCGCAGAATGTGAGGGGGAGAGTGCTGCAGCAACACGTCGTCATCTTTATCGTTCCAAGGAGGCTAAGGAGAGGCGAAGGAGAGGCGAAGGAGAGGCCAAGGCTTGCTTCCAAGGCGCCCGGATGATGCGGAAGTTGCTTGTTCCAGTTCCTTCGGTGCCCCCTCGCATCGCGAAGTCCATGGCAAGTTCGACCCACGCGGGGACCACCACCACCACATCCAGCCAATTCCATGCCCAGCCAGGCCCCGCAAAGTAAGTCCGAGGCCCCGCAGCAGTGACGCGGATGCTCATCTCCAACGTGAAGAGTACGGCGTAAACCAAGTGTGCAATCAGAAAAGCCGGCTCCACAAACTTGTCCACTTTGAGAGCACTCCACTCAAGCTGCATCCCGAGAAACACGGAGTTGGAGAAGATCACTACAGCGAAGAAGAGGTTGAAGGCCAGGGAGTCTGCTACAAAAGCAGCTCCTCCTTGAATGGCAGCGACGACTCGCGCCACTCGGCCCCGTTCCTCCAAAACTTGGTTGGAGGAGACGTACTGCTTGAAGGACTCCATACGTGAGCCTTGCTCCTTGGCCTCAGCATACTCGTTGGAGACCCTGTAGGTTTGCGAGCGAGATTTCTGGAGCTCCGGCAGCGTTGGCAAAGACGCATTGGCGGAGAGCAGCGATGCCTGCCTGCCAATTTCCTCCTCAGAATGCTGAAGAGACAGCACTTCTACAACAAAGGCTCCCCCCAACAGACATACAGATCATCGCAGATACCATGATGCAAACTGTGACCGACTAAAGCTTGTTAGAGACTGTGACCGCTGAAAAGTTTGCTCCCCTCATTCCAGTCATTCCAGTGCTTGAACTGAGCGTCCACTTCCGAACCCGCGGTCCCGGACTTGTCGGAAGACGACCGGCGTTGCGTGGGGACCTCGGGGACCTCTGCCACCGGAACAAGGCCAACTCCACGCCGATTCTCAAGGGTGTCCTGGGGCCAGGTCTGACAGAGCACGTTGCGATGCGTGTGACTGTACGGAGCTGCGACAGCTTCACGGTTAAAGACAATGCTTGACAAGGCCGCTGCTAGTTTGCCACTTGGCACGTTCAGTGTTCAGTGCGTTTCAGATTTCAGTACTGCAGCTGGGCATATGACGGCATACTGCATGCCTCCACGACGATCAACCTGAAAACAATGATTGTCCCAGACATCATGGACCCGCAACACATGCCATGCGCGGCTGCAACTTCAACTGCTGCAACTGGTGCAACTGCTGCTGCCGCCGCCGCTGCTGCTCTTGCTTTCTCTTACTCTGCGAGTGAGCCCCGTACAGTGTCACAGTGTCACCCTGCGATTCCACGACGATGACGAATTAGGTTTCTTTAGAGCTTCACACTTAACACTGTTACGATTCACGCAACAGGGCGGGGCGTCCTCTATCTTGACGAACCAGGCTTCCAGTCGGTCGAGGAGCTCTTGGTGTGCCTGCGCTGCACCCTATACTGGACTCGGTTTGGGGATTTGGGGATTAGGCAGTTTAGAGTCGTGAGGGCTTAGGGCTTGGAGTGCTTCCAAGTGGACGGTGCCTTGCGAAGCTGGTCTGCGAGCAGCAACGTGTTTGGCTCACGCAGCGAGTGCATGGCTCGAAGGATGTTCGGAGGGCTTCCTTGCACCAACAAACCTTTTCGAAACGAAATATTATAAACATTGCACAAAGTACCGCCTCAACAAGCCTGCCAAGCTCAAACGGAATGTTTTGTTGCTGCTGCTACGCCGTTGATATTGTACAAGATCAGAAATGCTGCAGCACGAAGCCAAGCAATTGGTCGTCATACTTTGTGTTTATGCCCCTGGTTCAAACTACAAGCATCGCAAAATTGTTTCTGCACACAAAGTTTGCTGCCCGTGTTGCCTCTCCGCTGTGCACACTTCGTACTTACGCTCTACAAGGAGTCGCGGCGAAGTTTGTGAATCAGGCTCATCTTTTCCCAGTCTGAGGCAGCCACTCGAAGCACTGGCCACAGCTTTGTCCCGTGCAAGTTCTGTTGGGAACACGACGAAACAAGCACCTGATGCTCTCGAGATTCAGAACACGAGCACTAGGAGGCGAAACAAGACGGACTCGACCTTCTCGACTTTGCAAGACGTACTGAATGTGGCAGAGACTTGCTCTCTTTCCCATCGAAAGAGAGAAAGAGCGAAAGAGAGAAAGAGAGAAAGGGAGAAAGGGAGAAAGGGAGAAAGAAGAGCGAAAGAAGAGAGAAAGAAGAGAGAAAGAAGAGAGAAAGAAGAGAGAAAGAAGAGAGAAAGAAGAGAGAAAGAAGAGAGAAATAAGAGAGAAGAGAGTAAGAAGAGAGAAAGAAGACCGAGAGAAAGAGAGAGGGCGTAAGGGGAGTCAATTCGAAAATCCACACCACATCACCTTTGAGGGTTCCGGGCATCTCACATTTAGAGCTGAGGGCTGTTGGCCTAGTACCTAAGCAGAAAAGAAGCAAGCTTGCACGGTTTCATTCTCAAAGCCCCCAACTAAACGCAGAAGCTCTCGAAACGAAAGCCCGGGGCCCGTACCAGAGCACTTCAAGTTCAGCAACATCTCCCGCACCTCGCGCAGGCCCCAGAAAGCAAAAGCAACCCCCTCGTCTGTCCCCGTCTGAAAAAGGGAGAACACTCCTTCTTTCCAACCAAAAGTGATACGTTTTGTTTGGCTACGCGGCTATGCGCATGTGTTTGTTGGGGGTGCATTGGTGGGTAAACAGACGAGTCCTATCGGTCCCATTCGCCATGCCGCCTCCAACCTCGGAAACGCCAGCAAAGCACCTGAGAAACCCCTGGCACCAATCCCCCTTCAAACCCAAACTCTGGAAAATTGTTGTGTTAAGTACTACTGGAATCGGCCACTTTTTCCCGACTCTAGTGCCGAGTTGAGTGAGAAAAATGGATATTCAATTCAAACGAAAACGACAGGTTCTGGGAGGGTGCGGTGACACCAAACACATAGTGATGCAAAGTGATGCAAAGGGGCCTTGTGAATCGCCGGCCCGGCCAATCGTAAACCCTAAACCCTAAACTCGTTTAGCCCCAAACCCAAACCCCACACCAACCCCCCAACCGCAGAGGGGAAGGGGGTCGCGGGGAAGAGGACAGTGGGATCAGTGGGGGAGGAACCATTGGTTCGCCACCCCACCCCTTTCATGCTCCACCTTACCATGGTATCCCTCCCCCTGAACCCTTAACCCTCAACCAAACCCTAAACCTAAATCCTAACCCCAACCCCCCGACCACAACACGCCGAAACCTCAAACCCTAAAACCCTAGTCCCGAAACCTAAAACCCCAGACCCTAAACCTCATCTGCAGCATCTCCAAGCATGAAACTGGGGGCACAAGGAAAACCACGTTTGGGAGCAACCCTATGCTCCACACCGCAGAAGTGCCGTCGTGTGCAGCACCCAAAAGAAAGAATGACGTGTGATTCTCACATGGCCAACCTCCAACTGTTTGGCCAATAAGACTTGCGATTCTCACATGGCAAACTTTGTGCATCAGATGGCCCAAGACACCCACAGAAAGGCCACTGGTTGGCCACTGTTTGGCCGATAAGACTTGCATTGGCCGATAAAGATGATCTGCCGTGAGATTCCGACAGGGGGGCGGAGAGAGACCGCACCACAAGGGAGAACCGTTGGGGGGGCGGGGGGGTGGGTCGGGAGATCCTTTAATGATATATATATATATATATATATATATTCTTCTTCACTTCCCACGCAGCGAGTCAAAGTCGCTATGCGAAATGTGCAGACCTATTGCCTGCGGCCCAAACCGTATGGGCAACTCAACGGATCAAGCACGCCCGCCATACAGGCCAAGCAGCGTGCACCGTGAGAGCACACTACAAAAGTCACAACCAATGCGAGGCTTTCACATAGAAAACAATGTAACACGAGTCCAGAATTCTCGGGGCAAAATGCTCAACACTACTTGAGGGAGTACGACCATCGTCAGTAAGCCAGACCCTGCCATCCCTGTACAGGACACTTTGGTAGTGCCCTTGTGTCGGCACTGACCCTAGGTGCACTATCATCGCAGACAGCTTAAAGGTTTGCCAAACTACGCCACTGTCATCCCAGATGGGGAGCAAAAGGTGATCACTGCATGAGAGTCTGCGCCTGTTCTTTGATATAACACCTTCGGTGAGTTCAAAGCGGTTCACTTGCAGAGCCACACACTGCGTCCCCCTGACAAAAGCATGTTGAGCCCGTTGCTTATGCCAGACATGAATGAGCGACTGCAGATTGTTCACTCCACTTAGGTTCCCCACCGCAGTGAGAGCCGTAGGGCAAGTACCCCCCTCATCCCTGAGGGCCAGGGGGCTTTGCGTGTAGGCTTGCCAGAATGACTCAAATTGCGGTGCTTGCATCACCTCATGCAGACGCAGAAGGAAATCGGCTGCATCGTGCTGACTATGCGGTTCTTGCCACTGCATGAAGGCGGTCCGCCAGCTGAGAAGTGACCATACGCTGACTGGTCTACTGGCACCCGCCTGTGTGAGCAGCGCTGCAAGGGGCAAGGATCTCAAGACCTGCAAGTCTCCGCAGCATTGCGCAAGAGTCCAAAGGTAGGCATAAACACAGGCGTGTGTGTAGCAGTGATTGGACGGATTGTGGAACGCTAGTCGAAGCAAGCTGCTGCGGAGCGCCTGGACCCCTGACTCGGCTTCGGAAGTAGATCTACGATCTGCGTGGCCAGTGGAGCTCGATGCAACCTCTCTTCCCGCAGCACCAGCCCCACCAGCTTTGTGCAGCTGCAGTGGTGGAGGCGTGAGAACAGTTCCCAGGCCTTCGCCGCTTCTGCTCCCCTCCACCCCAGCTCCAAGATGAACGGCACGACATTGCCTTCCATTGTCTCCGCCAGTGGCCTCTTGGCATGAAAGGAGGTGAGAACCTCCGGTCTGGTGACCAGGATCGTCAGCTCGTCCGCGATCTCCTTTGCATGCGCCAGCGACAGTGGTTCTTTGTCCTGGGCGATGTGCTTCTGCTCCTGCGCGTCCCAGCGCAGAAAGGGGAAGCCCCTGTCCCCGTAGATCCCCAGCTCCTCTGCTTGCTTGAGCGCTGCAGGGTCCTGCTCGATTTTCACAATTCTGCCCTTCAGCTCCGAGAGGATGTGTTGCATGAGCGTCACTCTCAGTGGCATGCGTAGCCGCTCCGGATGATGCTCTTTCATGTCCTTCCAATCGTTGCTGATCTGCCAAAGAGACGGTATCAGCGAAGCTGGCTTCTGAGTGGACATAAACATGACCATGCCGCTCGAGAGGCGAAGCACATTGAGCTGATCCTCGTGCCTCACTGCCAGCCTGCAGACCCGATGGCATAGGGCCGCCACCTCTTGCAAAGTAGCGGCGGCTGAGGCTGGTTTGGACCAGTTGCTGGCCCCCGACGGGCCATGTCCTCTCCGGTGTGACCCAGTCTGCCTGCCACGATTCATCGAGGCATCGCCTTTGCCCCTCTGCAGCCCTTTGTTGCCATCCCTTTGGAACTTTGCAGGCCTCTCCTCTGCTGCCTCCGCTTCCGTCTCCTTTTTCGCACGCGAGAGGGCGTTGATGCTGCTGGTAAACAAGGCCAAGTCCTGGGTCGCTTCTTCTAGGTCGCTCATGTGGGGCACGGTCATCCTGCGCAACCAGGTGCTGAGCAACTAGGCATTGAAAGTGCGATAGATGCAGCACTCTGCATTCAGTCGCGTGCCTGGCAGGCCCGGTATGGAACTTCGTGCTACAAAACCCGCACGGCGAAGTCAAAACCAAAATCTTGCGGATCAAAAACATTTGGGCGTAAGCTTGGTCACAAGCTTCTAGAAGTGTGGGGTGCTTGGCACGCACATGCGTTCGGAGAGCTCGCGCTCTGGCCATCCACATTCCACAGCAAGGACACGGCGCTTTCATCAATACGGGCAGTGGGACGCGATGGAGTGTGTCCATCAGGAAACAAAGAAGGGCAGGATCTACTCATGATATGATGCTGGAGCTCGTCCCAACTGCTGTAATCATGCCTGCAATGCCTGCATTTGGGAAGCCCCTCACTACTGTGCACCCAAACAAACGCAGTAAAGTCGTCCGCCCCCTGCATCATATGTTGCGCGAGGGCCTCCCGGGTCAAATTGAGGATTGCGGACCTGTCCTGCCCTTCAGTGTGTTCAGGACGCATACGCGCGATATGCGTCCTAACAGCGAGAAGTGTTGGGAAGTCTAGCCCACAATGCTGACAAGTGATGGGCCGGACAAGGTGCGCCGGGTTCACCGGTCTCAGACTGCAGCCCCCGGACAGCGGGATCACTTCAATGTCTGTTTGCAGGACCTCTTGCTGAAAGCTGACTGCCACATGCTCTTGCCAGGACTGGAGGGTTTTGGCCGGGAACCAGGCCTGCATTTCTCTTCTGTGCTGGGCGTCCTGCTCAAGGAGCGTCCATGGGTCAGGGAACCTGCATCTGCGACGAATCTCCTGCGAGGACACTTCTGTCAGGTGGCTCGGTAGTTTGAGGATCATACACAGCTGCTTATTTACTAGTGCAGTTACTGCCGTGCGACCTTGCCGCGGCATCCCTGTGGATGCAAGGGAGTACCTGAGGGTGTTGAAGACACACGCTCTCCACACCCGCACTTTGGTCTGGCAGCTGAGGCGACTACAGCGGAGAACGCTGTGTAATCTCCAGAAGCATCCCCAGGCGATCCCCATGCGGTGCTTGAGGTTAAGGGCCTCAAATCCATGGTAGGAAGCTTGGCCCCTAGGTACATGATTGAGGTCACAACTGGATACAGTCTGTGCTCTCTGCCTACCCGAATTTTGAACTTGGCTCCTTGCTCATCCTTTTGGACACGCTTAGCAAGTAGGGACGTCGCCGAGCTTCCCTGCAGCGCATACATGATGACCGTTTTCTCTGCACTTAATGTGAAGCCTGCGGCCTCCATAACCTGGATCAGTAACCCCATGGAGCGAACAGCCTGCGCAAGCTGCGGGGGATTACGCACAAGCCATGTCGTGTAGAAGTCATCGGCGTAAAGCGTGACCTCTCCCCCCGACAGATGCTGCTGCCGGCAAGCCGCTTGATACTGGTTGCACAGGTATCCTGTGGTAAGGGCCCAGAGGAGTGGGGATAGCCCACATCCCTGTCTGATGCCTTGTTCTAAAGCAACCTCCGCTTGTTGCTTTCCCAGATTGAGAACCAGAACGGCCTGTTGATGGATGTGGTTGATCAGGGATATGAGCGTTGGGTCGAGCTGGGCGTCCTTCATGGCAGCAATGAGCTGCGCTCTGGGCAGCGCATCGAAGGCTTTGTTTACGTCCAGGCTTAGGGAGATGCCTCCGCCTACTGAGGCTGGGGCCATACCTTTACGCCTTGCGTGTAGGGTCGGATCAGCTTCACTTGCCAGGATCCTGGCGGCATGTAGGTGACTGCACACGCGCTCAATGGCATCAGCCGTGGATCTTTGCGGGATATACGCAAACTGCGGGACCTGTGACAGGTAAGTCGCCACAGGAGCGCGCAGTCTGTCCGCCAAAATGGTCGCGAGGACTTTGCTTCCTGGCGCCAGCAGGCAAATGGGACGCAACTGCTTGGGCATTTTTACGAAGGGGACTTTTGGGAGGAGGCACACATGTACCCTGTGCCAGTCTTTATGGAGTTCGCCCATGTTTTGTAGACTGTGCTGCAACGTTCGATGGAGGTACGGCACGACCTCCTGCGTCGCAAGCTTCCACAATACTGTGGGTGCATAGGTAGGTGGGAGGGCCTTGAGAGCCTTGAGCTTGGTCATTGCGCCTAAGACTTCCTCTTCCTGGATTGCTACCTGGGTGAAGGTTGAGGTCACTTCGGTGCACTGGGTATTTTGTGAGCTTCGTGCATACAGCTCTTGGAAGTGTTCTTTGACTGATCTGATTTCCTCCGCTGGAGACTGCAAGCTACCATCCTTTGATCGTAGCTGTATTCTGTTGTTGTTGCGGGATTTGGGGGCAAGAGTGCGAATTGCCTGGTAGATGGCAGCTGGGCCCGGCATGGCCTCTGCGGTTTCAAGGATATGCTCAGTTTTGAGGCCTCACAAACCTTCCTAAGCTGTTTCTGCACCCTTTGAAGTTGGGATTGGACCCTCCAGATTCGGAAGCTGGCCTGAAGTCTCGTCATGGTGAGGATTTCACTGCTCAACGCTCCCCTGCACCTGCGCCAGTGCCACAGGAGCAGCACCGTCGGTTTGGGACAAGTCAGAGCTGCAGGACTGGGCTCCGGCAGCCTGGAGCTCTTCCCAGGAGTCCTTCAGGACGAGATTGATGGTTTGGCAACCGTCCGCGCGCAGATCCCACACCTTCTCAGCCTGAGCGAGGGCAGTTGCGACCTTCTCCTGAAATTGCGCAGCAATTTCAGGATGCGCACGGAGGTGTTGCTGCATATTCCTAGGGTGAGGCATGGTTTGATGGGGCTTTTTACCTAGCTTTATGTGTTTGAAGTGAGGCCTTGGCAGGCTGCAGCTCAGCGGCAGGTGCCGCATTCCCGAGATCGGCACGAACGGTACCTCCCACAAAGGAAGTGCTTGCTGCGCGACAGGGTCAGCATGCACAGTCCTGGTAAGAATGAAATCAATCTGAGTACGGACTGTGAGGCGCCTGGTGGTGGCAATGTATGTGTGCGCCTTGTGCCGTCTACGGTAAGTGTTGAGGGCTCGCAGTCCGAACCTTTGCAGCAAGCCGCTGAACCGGGGTTGGTCAGTCTGAGCGGGTACACTCGGGCAGAGTGAGCATGAGCCAACGTAGCCTGGGTCCGCAGGTAGCGGGGTATTGAAGTCCCCTATTACAACAGCCATGTCTCGCCACGCAAGTCTTGACAGGGTCTGCTGCAGCTTCTCCCACACTTTCTCGCGGTGATGCAGTAGGCCTTCCAGCGTTCCATGAGCATCCGCTCGCGGATTCCAGCAGTGCTGATACACCGAGAGATAGTGCAAACATGGCCGGCCATCTATTCTGAGGTGCACCAGCCTGCCTGGGACTACGTGGTCGATACGAACGCTGGACGAAGTGGCATAGTCCTTGCGTATCATGAGAAGGATGCCAGCCTTTCTAGCGCCCTCTCCGCTGTGTATCATCCAGTGATGCTCCGTGCTCCACTCACTGCAGAAAGACCAATGCGTTTCTTGAAGGGCGCACACATGGACGGTTCTCCCCGCCTCATGCTCCTGCGAGAGCCACGTGTCGACTTCTTGAAGCTTCGGGACACTGAGACCGCCTGCGTTCCAGCTGACGGTGCGCCACCTTTCAGAAGATGGATGTTTGGGCTTTGAGGGCGCTGGAGGTCTCGTCGGGCATCTCTTCGGGAGCGCATTGGTGGAAGTATATAAGCGACCCCTATACCAGGCGTGCCCCTGTTGCTGGATACGAAGGACTAATCTCCGCAAGACTCGTTTTGCGATGTTACTAGTTGCGTCTATTTGCAAGTGTGCCGTCGGGCCTTGCGGCTGTTGGACTTCGCGACGGTTCACCACTCCTTGTGGTAAAGTTTGCCACCTTGCATGGAAGGTTTCAGGGGGATTCGCGACTCCTCCCCCACTCTGACGCAGCGTGCCCTGATCGCAAGTGCCCAAGCCATAAGAGGAACGACAGTGGTCTTCTGAGGATTTGGCTCGGCTGTCGCACGCTGCATCCCCTGGACTTGGGACCAGGGCCGGCTCTTGTTCTGCCGTCGCAACGGCCTTCGCGTTGGAGGTAGGATGCGTTCTTAGCTTTATGGGTGTACACCTGTCTACGTAGGAGTCGGGCAAACGGTGGACGGGATTGCCATCCTAACTTCAGGACCCCAGTGATGTTATGAGCCCAAGTGACGCTTTGCTTCCCCCTGCTTGGCCTGAGTTTGGCCCGCTTGCGGCCGCGCCTCCATTTGGCGGTCGGGAGCCTGCGGACATATGCTCTCGCCCGCCAGTGTTGTCGGGTCAGCGACATGGACGTCCGCGGCCTGACTCGGCCGCAGGTCCAGCTTAGCACCTGGGAGCTGCTTGTTCTCACTTGCTTGGAGGAACAGCACACTGAGACATTGGCATCTTGGCGCTGAGCTGACAGGTCTCTCACAGTTCCTGTTGGCGCCAGGACTTGCAGAACATGTTCAGTCAGACACAGGTGCAAGGGACTCTTGGGGCGGCGCTGCGGACACCTACCACACCATCCGCAACGCGGAATGCAGAGCCAGTAGGCACAGATGCACGGTCCGCCCTGGCATAGAGCGCTGCTGCTGTGCGAATCTGACTGGCGTGGCTCCGGGCCTCCTTTCCAGCCTCGTGAGGCAAACAGAGCACCTGCATCACACTGCACCGTCAGGGAGTACTTCCTACATGGGTGAAGAAACTGACCTACGTCTGACTGGGGGGCCTTACGCACTACTGGTTCATTCCGCCGGCTGGCTTCCAGGGGGTCAGTCCTACGAAACGCAGCTTGCAACCGCCACGGAAGGATGTGGAAAGACACAACGCGCTGTCTCAGGAGCTCACTGGGGCGGCTCTCGCAGGGAGCGCCTGGAGTCCCGTATGTCGGGTAGGTGTGCACGCAGCTGGCTGTTGCTAGCACTTCACGGCTTGCACGCTTGTCAAAGTGTAGCATGCCCCCAGGCGGTGCTACAACCTTGGCGGCACATACCTTGACCTCTACGGACCTTCTTGCAACCTTGAGCTGAGCCTGTCGGAGGCTCGTGGTAGCACATGGTATGCGCAGCGATAGGCAGGCTTGCCCGTGCTGGTCCCCTTCTCGCCTGGGAGGAGCGTGACGGGGTTGGAGGTCTCAGGGGAGACCCGACAAAACAAGCGAGGCGGGTATTAGGGCTCTTGGGACATGTTCCTGGCGGGCAGGAGTTTCAGCTTGGCAACGTGAGCAAACACCTGCACCTATGCACCAAGGAGAAAAGTCTGCGCCAGGGCAGACTGCTTTCAGCAGCAGGGCTCTGATGGTGGCACAGGCAATGGGACCTCCTCTGCTTGCTTTCTGATGCGTGCGCAGCCTCAAACCTGCGCAAGAAGCTGATGTCACTGTCACGCTAACTGCCGCGGGGCTGCGGGCAGTATACATGGAGGTATCCTCGTTGCTCGCTTCTGCCATCTGTCGTCTGGTGCTCGTCTGCATCGCCCCACTCTTCCGCTTTGGAGAAGCATGGCTAGGCAACAGCACCATTGCCAGCAGCAATAGGAAGCAGTGTCTCCATGCGTGCATCGCTACAAACGTCGAGGGGCCCCGGTTAAACACAGAGCAGTTTGAAGCCAGGCCCGGTTCACAGCCTACACACACACCCTACCAACGAAGTCTGAGCCGGAGAGCTTATATATATATATATATATGCCTATATATTAGAACGGTGAGCGCCTCACAACAACCATGTCTGCCCCTTCTCGAATTGGTGAACCCCAGCCCCCCTTTCCGTGCGTGCCTCCTCCGGCTTCTTGTGGCCGCGCTGTTCCCCCAGGACTGACAAAGAGTTCTGTGGAGGCAAAGTGTGATCGTGGAGACTGCAAGTCTCTTCCGACTTCTCTGCCCTCTTTGGGTCTCTGCCAACCTTTTTTGCATCGATTTGGCAGCTCAGATTGAGGCAGAACGTATGCAGGCATGCTGGAATGCGGGAATGCGGGCATGAGGAAGGCGGTTTGGTGGTCTATCGGATCCATCGAACGCCCTAACCTTGCCGCTCCAGCATCATGAAGACGCGCTGCAGCACCCATCGAGGGCGTGTCGGGGAAACCTGGGGCGATGGCGCCGAATCTGGGTCTCTAAGGGACGTTCACAGAAAAAGTCTTGGTCTGTGCCGCGCTAGGCTTTATCCACAACAAATCCTGGAAACAGTGACCGGCTGTCCTCTCCCGTTTCCTTGAAAAAATAAGGATTTCCTCCTGAACAGAAGCGAAACCTGGGGCAAACCGGTGACCGCAACACCTTGCCAACTGTGGCCTGCAGCTCGGGATCCATGCTCTGGAGGGTCGCGTCCACGCAGGACTCCCTCGGAAAGGCTTGACCGTTCTCGAAAGTTTTAAGTGCTGCATGGAAGTGGGACCGGGTTGGAAGCTAATTGTGTTTTCTGGGCAATTATTCACTCTCCTTCTGTAAACAGAGGTGCATCGCTTTGGTTCTCAACGAGGGCTGCTCTGTGAGGGATCTCACAGTGCAGACAAGCAGCACTTTGTCAACGTCCCTGCGGTAGTCCCAGCAAATGGACACGCCCAGGACCTGCCTCAGACGACGCCATACCACAAACCAACCGTTTCCTCTTTGCTAGTGCTCAGGCTCAGCTTATATCGGCAAAGCTTATCTGCGATCATCATCCCCTCCCCCGGGCCACCCCAACACGCTACACCTGCAGCACGGAATTCGCTTCTGGAACGGAGTCATGCCATCACCGGCTTCCTGGCCAAGGTGTACAGCACACCTGCATATTCAACCATCCAAGGTAGGAAGTTGGAATCGTTTGGGATGGCCCATTCAAGAAAATACATCCACAATCGAATTGAACAACTCACAACAATGTACAACAGAACCCCCTGAGGCAGTCCCTTACCAGGCATCGCCGGGATGCTCTTTCGAGTGGCTCTCGATGGCTTCCTTGACGCGCTCCTCCGCATCTTCGACGCCACAAAACTCCGGCAGACCTCCCAAACCGTTGCACGGCCCTTCTGCAGCACTCGACACATGAAGTGAACGTCACATGAAAGGGGCTGAGCAAACTATGACATGAAGCCCCCCACCACCCCACCACCCAGCCACATCACACCTCGGCAAACGGCTGCAAAGTCCTCAAGGCAGCAACTTTAGGGCTTAAGACATGGTGGGATGGTATGCGGAGCTTTACGATCTCGTAGGATGTTGGAGCCCTGGGCCCTCTCCTTTAGCGTGGCGTTCTCTGCGTCGTGCCGCAGGAAGCGCAGGCGCCTCGAACGGCAGCGTGCCCACCAGCAGCCACAAAGGGGCCAACCGGGCACCAGCACTCTGAGCATTCACTGAATTTAACTGATAGGGCCAATGCCGGGCCAATGCAGGGCCAATGCTCAAGATGCCTGAGCCACCGGCTGGCAGATCACAGCGGCGATGGAGATAAAGAAGATCACCTGCTCCCACAGTCACAGAGCCCAGGCATCGTCATTGTCACAAGCAGCGCGATTCTTCACACAGACCCCTTGTCAAAGGTTGTGTCTTGGTGCCAGGCGAGGTAGGTGAATACCGCAAAGAGGAGCCTTGGAGGGGGGCTCAGTGGGCCTCAGTGGGCCTCAGCGGGCCTCAGGCCTGAGGCAGACCTGACACCTATGGACACCTGTGGCCTGTGGCTTCTCCTGTTGGCTTCTCCTACTATTGGCTTCTCCTGCTGGCTTCCTCTTGGCTTCCTCTTGGCTTCCTAGTGGTCAAAGGAGTCAAAAGGTGTCTTGTCAGCCGTGCAGCTCTGGGATGAGTGCCTGAGCCACTGCGCGCCGCAAGGGCTACACAAGACGGCGCAAGAGACGAAAACAAGATGAGCAAACACCTGCGGCTTCAGAACCCCTAAAGGCCCTAAACCCTGTTGCTTCTTCCCAGCTTTTTGCGGTCGCAGTCACGAGGTTCTGAACTTCTGCCCCCCAGTGTGCAATGGCACACTGCTGCCGCGCATCATCTACCTGAACCAGTGAACCAGGTTCTTCGGCGACTCTGAAGTTCATTGAGAAGGGCATGTCCAAGTACCACATGACTACCACATTCAGCAGATTCCCTGGAGATGCGCCAGTTTCACAATCTTACCGCAGCTTTCACCGGCTCTGGTAGATGCGCCTGCCTCACTTATGCCCACGATGTTCAAATCCTAGGGCGAGGCTCATCATTCCCGCAAAAACATGTAAGAACAGCCACTCCCCACCTCCTACAGCTCGCTGGATAAAGGGACAAAAAACGGGAAGAGTGCCATGTCTTTGTGGAAAGGAAGCCTCTAGTTGCATGGAGCACTCTGCTTGGAGTCCTTCTACATGGTCACTCCGCAAGGAAACGAGAGAAACGGGAATCGACGTCTGAAGTCAGGATGCCCTACGATCTCCATAAACCATTACATGGATTACATGTGCATGCATGTACTGTTCAAGGTCCCCATTCTAATAGCTTTGAGTGCTAGGGTCCGACTTCGTTCCCGCGATGCTCTGAGTGCTAGAAACCTAGCTGCAACATGTTGCAGCCCAAGGTCGGGCCAGAATCTGAGCATCACCATCCATGCAACAAAGATCAGCAAGGTCATGGCGATGACTGCCTTGGGGCATCACTGGCAATGCACATCATCCAAGAGTTATCTAAGGGACGAAGGATCGCAGAAGGGTACTTTCTTAGTCGGGCCCAGTTGCGCACTGAAAGTTCCTTGGTTCTTCCAAAGTTGCGAGAGAGAACAAAAAACGACTCCCGTCAGAGTGTCACCACATGTCCTAGCAAGTCACCATTTTCGGGCTCTCGGGCTCTCTCGGGCTCTTTCGGGCTCTCGGGCCAAGCTTCATGAGAAACATCAACCCAAGGCCCGCCACGGGCTTTCTCTGCAGGTTCGTGGCCAAAGGATACAAGCCGCCGCCTCCATCCTGGCCCTCGCCAAGGGAGGAATGGAAAGTCTCATGTTGCAAGTGAGGTAAGGCAATGCAGAAACACACAATGCAGCTAGTGAGCAGCCAGTGGCCGTCGAATGCCAGTTGCGGTGGAAAGGCAAGACTCGCAGACTCTCGCCACTGGCCGCACTGGCCTCGCTCACAAGCCTCCGGCAAGTAGCGAACGCGTCCACTGCAACGGCGTTCTCCTCCTTCACCTCGTTTTGAAGAAAGTGACCGAGGGACACCACGGAGATGCTCTCAACTCCAACCGCAAGCTCTCCAATCCGAGGCGCTGCTCGGAGGCAGCGCAGGTCCACGTACCACGTCACCTCGAAACATCTCAAAACTCCTCCTCACATGCCCCACCTGAGCCTCTTTCTGAGCCTCTTTCTGAGCCTCTTTCTGAGCCTCTTCCTGAGCCTCTCTGCGCCTCTGGGCTCAGCCGCAGCTCTCTGGTCAGCCGCAACTCTCAGGGTGCTGCGACGATGAGAAGCAGGAGGCTCACCTGAGGAAGCTCAGGAGAGTTCTGAATGCAGCTGAACGCAAGACTCCCTTGAGCCTGAAGATGACTCTGAGAGTTTTTCCAGAGAGAGAAAGCGAGAGGAAACAAGAAAACAACAAAACAGAAAGAGCGCTTCTCTGTTTCGTTTGCGAGGACGAGGGGCTGATCCGATGACCACGGACCCGTTGTCGACGGCCTCAGCTCTCCAAATCACATGACGTCATCCTTCTGACGGGAACCGTCAGAGCATCACTAGAGCATCACTGTGAAGGGCTAGTAGGCACACGAAACCCACAGCAGAGAACACACGGTTTTGCACGGTGGTTCCTCTGTATTCTTTGCACGTGGCGTTCTCGACCGTGATGCGGATCCATGAGAAGAAGCCGTCAGGTCTCTCCAAGCCTCCCCAACGCATTTGTCGAACAATGTCTGTTGCGTCTCTCGTGAAGTATCTGAAGTGCAGCACTTGCAGCTCAAAAGGTTCTAAGGGCGCTTCAGGAGCCAGCTGATAACCTTAGACTGTGAAAAGCAGCTTCTTTGCAAGATGAAGAAACTCCGCAGAAAGAACTCAAGCAAATGCCACCAATGCCGCCAATGCCACCTGTAGCCATCAAGGCACTCTTCGCAGAGGGTCTTCTTTGTCGGAGAGCATCGCCTGCCAAGTCCCTCCATTTTCTCCGGATCTTGTGTGTGCATGGCTGTATTGTGTGTGCAATGGCTTACGCTGGCTTACACTGGCTGACACCCTCTTCGCTGTAACGGCAGCAGCTGGCACAAAAGGCGCGGATGCATCGTACGGACTCCCGTGTTTCACATGCGTTCGCCGCTCTTGCTGAATGGGGCTTCGTGGCACTCTGGCTTGACCCGCGACGTACCACCGAATGCCTGCAGTTCCGGACCCGGCAGCGAGCGCAGATCAATTGCTTCTCCTCCGTCACCTGCAGCGAAAATGGCGAAATAACGGCCACCTCTTCCGTGAAACGCAAGAGGGAACGGGGAATCTGCTCCTCTTGCATCTGTCGGAGCCAAGGGGCGTAGGCAGGGGACTCCACAAAGGACGGACATGAGGGAACGCAACGGAAGCTACCTGAGCCGCAAGAAACGGGTGTGAGATGCATCCCCCTGGGATCTCCACCAACAAGGCCCAATAACGGCGTTGACTCGGTGGGTGGGATTGAGGCGCGGAGTTGAAGTTAACTTCACAGAGCTCTTCTCAGGCCCAAGAACAGTAGGCGTTGTCGATCTCGGACCAATAGGCGCACACGCTGGGGCACTTCGCTTCCTGCAGGGATCTTTCGGAGAAGCGCTAAAGAGAGAAAGAGCAGAGAAGTTGCACCCATAGAGTGGGAATGGAGTACCCCCTCTCACTGCCCAGCAATCCTTGGCGATGCGGGCGGCGAAGAGGTTCTTGCCACCTCAGGATGGCAAAGGTTTGAAGTGGTGAAAAGATGTCCTTCGGAAGTGTCTTTTGAGACCGGTGCTGGGGCGCTGCGGTAAAGAGCGAACTCCTATTACATGATAATATTAAATGGGAATATTCAGGATTCCCTTCTCAGCCACCAGGGCCCGACAACTGACGGAGCTATCGCCACACATGCTTGACGTGATCAGGCGACCTCTTTCCGTCTTGAAAAAACTGTCCTCTCGTGTTCTGGGCGTGTCTTGGTTCTTGAAGAACAGAGAGCACAGAGAGAGAGAGAGAGAGAGCAGAGAAAGAGAGAGAGACAGGCGCCAAGCAGGCGAGGCCCGCTCCTCGCGGGTCCTCCGTGGAGAAGAAACAGAGGGCTGGCGCTGCGCCCTCTCCCTTTTTGGATCCAATACGAAGCTCAACAGAGCTTGGATTCCTGGATTCCTGGTGTTGGACATGGTCCCAATCTTGTTCAACTTTGATCGTCCTCTGCCCCGCTCATAGGGTGCACCGAGCTCTCTTCGGCTCTTGGGTCCTAACTTGATTCGTCCTTCCAAGCATCTCAACATTCAAGAACGAGACTCGAGTCCCCGAGCAGTCTTCCCAGGCACCCCCCCAAGGACGCACATTCGACAATGGCGAATGTGTCGAGGATTTCGCTCACCACCGGTCCGAATGTTTAGGACTTCGGTTATCGCCTTGCTCATGGTCCAAAACGGACCCCTGAACGAGGTGGGGTCCTATTTCAAGGCTGTGGCTGACATGGGTTTCGGCCGGAATTTCAGGAGGACATCGTCTCACAGAGTCAGATAGATCAAAACCCGCGGCGGGGCCTTCAGCGCAGTGCAAAAGGCTTACAGGCGCAAAAAGCCCCACTCAGCTCCTGCGGGACCGCAAAAGCGCCTCACTTGGTGACTTACGCTTCCAGCGCCCCTGTACGTAGGAGCATCCCTAAACAACCAGTCTTTTGGGAACGTTTTTGGTCCCCTGTGCCTTTGTCAGTCTGGTTGTCTGGGCTCCGGCTGTTGTGGCACTCATTCCTCCCTGTTTCTTTCTGGGTTTCGCTCCTCTTAGAATGTGCACGATTTGTCACACCCCGGTCATGGATCTTAAGAACTTATACAGCGCCTGGGGGCCTCAACAGTATCCAACAGCGCGTATGTCTTTCACCAAGCAGATATCTGGAACACGTCTCACTTCCAAGCCCCAAGCCCCAAGCCCCAAGCCCCAAGCCCCAAGCCCCAAGCCCCAAGCCCCAAGCCCCAAGCCCCAAGCCCCAAGCCCCAAGCCCCAAGCCCCAAGCCCCGCCATTCATCATGAGCTGGTTCAGAACTGCCTTGAAGGGCAGCCCTGGGGATTCTGAGTCCCGCGCAGTCCTCGGGCCGGATCTCCGTCAGCAGCTTGGTCACTTCGTTGCCTGCAGAAGCCGACGAAGTAACTCCCGTCCACAGCACAAGGGAGCCCCTCCAATGACTTCGAACGGCACCTTTCCGCTGCTTCAGCTCCAGATCCGTCTTCCGGATGTCGCCCGGCTTCGCGTCGAGCCACTTGATGCCTTGGCCGTACTACCGAGCCGTGCAAACACATCTCAAGCTCTCTCCAGCTCTCTCAAGCGCTCTCTCTCTCTCTCTCTCAAAGACGGAGAGGGAGAGGGAGAGAGAGAGTGAGAAAGCGAAAGAGCAAGAGAAATGGAAAACGAAAGAGCAAGGTGAGCGACCTCGGTGTGGCATATGATTCAGTGTTTAATACTGAGAAACAGAAAGAGGAGGAGAAAGAGAAACGGAAAGAGAAAGAGAAAGAGCAAGAGAAAGAGAAAGGAGACAGAGAGAGAGAGAGATAGAGAAAAAAAAACAAATAAGAGAGAGAGAGAGAGAGAGCAGGCAGAGAAGAGAAGAGCGAGAGAGAGACGAAAGATAACAAAAGAAGATAGAGAAGAGAGAGAAGGAAACAGAAGACAAAAACAGAGAGAAGAGCTTAGGGCTTAAGGGGTTTAGGTCTGGGGTGTAGGGGGATTACGGTCTAGGGTTTAGGTTTAGGTCTTAGGGACAAAGGCAACCGAAGCAAGGCAACCGAAACCCCCCCCCCCACCCACACCTCTCAAGCAATCTCAGTCTCCGGTTACCCGCTCCCACGCACAACCTGTAGGTGTGAGGATGACAGATGCCAAGGTTCAAGGCTTCGTTTTTTGGGGGGCGGGGGCCGGCCCGTCTTAAATCAACTTTCTGCTCTCTCGTGCGCAAAACTCTCTGCAACAGAGACATCCAAAATAGAAGGATGACCACGGAACCGCACCGGTTCGGGAAACCGGGCAACCGTTGGAACCGAACCGTGCAAGAACTGAACCGTACCGGGTACCCCTGTTTATAGGGACAGTCAGAAAGAACCGCCCAAAGCGAGCGCCGACAAAAGTCAGAAGCAGAGCCGACAAAGAGCAAAGACCACAACACAAGAAAGAGGATGACAATGACAGGACATGACAGAGGACGATAGGCGCGGGGAGGCCACACTCGATTCTATGTCTTTGTTTGCCGCCGGTGCTGCTGTAGAGTCCAGTCCATTGTCCGTGACTGTTGCGGATGTATGGGTCCTCAAGGCGCCGCATGAGAAAGGCTTTAACCGACAGGCTACCAGGAGTGACCAAACCTCAGTAAACAGTGTCAGAGAGCCCTCAGAGAGCCCTCAGAGAGCCCTCGAGATATCCAAGCCTTGACAAACGATTCGTGGAGTCAAGTCAGATACTGATCAGATACTGGGAGTCCTTCCCGGAATCCCTGCTAACCACCGCCGGATACCAGAAGCCTCGGCGATCAAAGGCTTTAAGGGGCGCGACAAGCTACAGACACAACAGAAACATACCGGCTGATGGAAACTTGGCAGCTACATTTCTACTGCGCAATGCTCCTGACATCATGCCCAGCAGCCATTGGCAGAATCCCTGGCCATGACCTGCGCTGGGACGAAAGCGGCAAAAGCTGTGCATCAGCTTTTGCTAAAGTGGAGCACAGGAATACTTCCTGCCATACTGGCCATATCTGCCCATGGTCCAAGGACACTCACGCCTGATCACCATGATGCTTCGAAGGAGTTGCGTTCAGCTTTTGAAGCCTGATTTCAGGTCGAGTGGGCAGTACCCTCCACTGCCCTCATGCCATGGAGGATCAGCACCTCATGCTTTCTGTTTAACTAGATGCCTTGCAAGAATGCCGGACGCAGGTTTGGTAACTTTCTGGCAGCTTCAAAACACTGTTGCTTTGGCAGGGGTCGAGGCAGTCCCTGACATCGTGCAGCCACGCCACTGGTTGAAGTAGTACTCTTTCTGATAGCCGAACACGCTGTGCACCTTGGAGGCTGTGTTCCGGCAACTTGTCAGGCTTGTCATGCGAGGCTTGGCATCATTTTCATGCCGCCGAGTCACCTTCACAATGAAGTCTCCCTGGTACGTCGGGTACTCGACCTGACGGGAGATCTTTGGCACCACGCCAAGCTTGAACGCTTGCCCTGCTTGACACTCGAACCATCTGGCAAAGTACGATGGATGTGCTGGCACGATTCGACCCTACATCCATTCAGCAGAACCCTGCCTGCACCACGGCTCCAAAGGGTCGAACTTGCGCGTAGTCCTAGCGGGAACATCACCGACAACTTGCTGCAACGACCCGTGAGAAGACCGGCCTTCGGCAAGATCCGGTTTAGAGGGCGCAACAAGAAAGTGGAGACCTCAGCTTCGAGATGCTTCTGCCTTGCACTCGAAGCTTGACCGCCAGGTGCTGGCGTGAACACAACAAGCCTGTCTGCTATCAATCGCTCCTACTAGTACCCAGGAAGACGATCGTTGGAAAATTCTGCCTTTCTTGGAAGAAAAACAATGCCGAGGCTGCGAGAGAAGAACAGAGAGAGAACGGGAGAAACAACGTCACCAACTCAAGATCCTTTTTCTTTGTTCCCTGTGTCGAAAGAATTGCCCCCCGTTCCGAGATCCCACGCTGTCTCACCTCGTTTCTGCCCTTTCCTCTTCCTGCGGGATTAAAACGGCATGGCCGAAGCACATCCCGCTCACGCAGTGGGCCTTGGGCAGCCCGGTATCGCGGCTTCTTTCCTTCTTTCGGGGAGCATGCGGGTCCCGGCTCTCCCGCTGGGAAAAGGCATCTCACATGCTACAGACACAGACAAGCAGACAAAGGGAAAGAGCGAGAGAAAGAAAAAACAACCCCGGACCCCAACAAGACACTGAGACCAGAGACGGAATGAGGCGAGTGAAGTGAGAGAGCATAGTAGCACAGAGGCGGAGAGAGAGAGAGAGAGGAGTGGCTCTCCTTGCAGCCCCGACGCGACTTCAGTCGCGTTAGTCGCGGAATCCTCTGGATGTGCACAGGACGCGTCGGGCATTTTGCAAGGAAGAGGGATGTTCGGACCGCTGGGAAAAAGCCCGCTTCGAAACTTCGAAACTGCGTCTCGGTGCGGAGCCTGGAAGAAGAAGGCGGGGCACTTCACGTGTTCGGCGTCCATCACCTCCCCAACCACGCGCCCCCGCCTCCAAACGCCAGTCCTTAGGCTAGAGAAACAAAAGCAAGGAAAGAAAGAAAGAAGGAAAGAAAGGAAAGAAAGCAAAGCAAGAAAGCAAGAAAGCAAGAACGAACGAAAGTGCGTTCGTGCGAGCGTGAGTGCATACGTCCTTTCATCTTCGTGCTGGACGTGGCTCGAGGGGCCCCAGGCGACGACAGGATCTCCCAGGTGGTACATCTGAAGGAGACGCACGTCCTGCGAGCACCAGGCTTTTTCTTCTTGCTAGCCGCGCCGTACCTTGCAAAATGTCACAACCTGCACCTCTAAGGCTCGGGCATAAGCACTCCTGGAATGTGTGAGAGAGCGCGTGCGAGTTTTGCAATTAAGACATGTCAAATTGAAACGCCATCAAGAACGGTGCACGATGCCAGCACAAAGCAAGCAAGAAAGGGTTGATCCATGGGGTGTGATTGCAAATATTGCAACACGTGGGCTGTCTTCATCATGCCCCAGGTCGCGCAGTTCAGGATCCGGTGTTCCGGTGTTCCGGTGCTCCGGTGCTCTGCATGCTCTGCATGCTCTGCATGCTCTGCATGCTCTGCATGCTCTGCATGCTCTGCATGCTCTGCATGCTCTGGTGCTCTAAGACTCTGTACCTTCATAGCAGCACACACGCGCACGTCATCTATCTGCAGCAAAGCGGCCCTCTTGCAAGGGGTTGGCCAGGGGTGGGGAGCAAAAAAACACCCATTTCCCCCCCATAATGGGTCGGCCCTGACAACTGAGGGTGACCCGCTGAGGGTGACCCTCGGTTGCTCCCCTCCGCCGCTCCGCCCTTTGGAAGGGGGGGGGCTGTGTAACCTGCGTCACAGTCATGGCTGTGTCATGCCGTGGCCTTGTTGACGTCTCGGTTTTGGACCTCATCTGCATTGGACGAATGTGCACACATCCGCAACATGGCGTGACATGAGGCATCCACAAGACTTTGTGTCACGCTTCAGTATTGGCTAGATGCTCGCACAGCGTCGCACATCTGATATTGATTGATCTCTTTCCAAGCGTGAGAAATAAGGACAGGGCGAATTCCAATCTGCAAGAGAGCGCAGAAGTTGTCCTGAGTCTGGAAGCTTGACGTGACTTTGAGCTGGCAAAGGGTCGCATGAGTTCTGCATGCCATGTCTGCTGCTACGACATTTGCACCAGGCTCGAACCCTCGAGGCGCTACAGACCCGCTTCCAACAGGCTTGCTTGGAGCGATCAATGCCGAGCTGCCTCTCCTCCTCTTGGGGATAATCAGGTAGTCGTCACCTGGGAACAGCAAAGCTTCTCTTCTCCTCTTCTCTAATTCCGCTCTTCTTCCTCATAGTCCCTCATGGGCCAAGGCAGCCAAGGCGCCCTTTCTCGTCAGCACCTGTCCCAGATGCCACTTCCGGGGCTTCCTCGAGCGGTAGAAAACCTGCCGACATTAGACATCCGCGGTCTTTTCATCCGCCTGCCCTTACCCAGCCTTACCCCATACATCCCGTTGTTTAACGGGAACTCTGCTGCTTTTGGAGAGTCTCAGCCACATGAGATTCCGATGAAGGCGCTGGAATGTGAGAGGTGCGCAGCAGGCCAGGCGCTTCAGCAAAGAAGTCCAGCCTTCTCTTTGGGAGCAAAGACATCGTAGAGGGAGAGGTTTCGATAGTCCTTGGCATGTGCAGAAAAAAGTGGGGACTAATACTGATGCCGTGTGGGGGCACAGGATTCTCTGCAGGATTCTCTGCAGAATTCTCTGGGGCACACAAAGGCCCTGTGCAGCTTGAAAGCAACCGTGCGGACTGGAAATTGCAAGGTGCATTGCCGACATGTGTGAACAATTATGATCATGATCGTCATCTTGATTCCACGGATGGCAATGATGCTAGCAAGTCGCACACTTGGCAAGAAGACCTGCTGATGGTAACGATCTTGATGATGCCCGCCCCATGGTGTAGAAGATGTTGATGTTGTTGATGCTAGTGATGACGCCCCAGCTTAATCAACCAATCCATTTCGACCCGGTTGGACAAGGTAACACGCGAACCGGTCAATATCCTCCCCCGCCCCCGCCCCATCCTATGCTAGAATCAAGAGCTGGCAGTGCTGGCAGCTTTCCGGACCTTGCCTCGCCCTATCTGCGAAGGCAAGACTAAACTTTAGACTAAACTGATAACGCTGGAGTTTGGGCACTCGGGCAGAGACGCTGGGCGTGCAGAGCAGCACAGGAGACCCACACATGGAAAGTAGCTAAATGAATATCCCCGCACCGAGGGTGGGGAATTCCTACTAGGCTTTTTAGGTTGAGCATTGAGCTGGGGCACGATCTCCACGGCGTGCAGAGTGTCTGGCACTGGAACGGCATCTGGCGAGGACCTGAGTCAAGCCAAGCGTCATCCAAAGTGGAGTGGCAATAAAAGGCACTGAGCAACGGTTCTGAGGAACGGTTGACGGAAAGAAGCCCACGTCTCTGATCTGAAGAACGGAGAACCGAAGGCGAAAAGGCCAAAACGAGATGAAGGAACACATCTTTCAAAAAACGCCCAAAACATGGACCAGAATTTCCGTCTTATGGGAGCCTCCCCCTTCTCTGGCGATCCCGGCGATGGCTCGGGGCCCTGGAGCCTGTAGACCCTGGCAGAGAGGGGTGTTTGAAGGGTAGGCCCTCCCCTTCATCCCTTGAAACCCGCCTGCAAGTGCTGGCGACCTTGTCGCAGTCCTGGACCTGGCCCACCTCCAGGCCCTGCGACGTATTGAAGTGGACGAGGTCGCCTGCACCAATCTTTCGGATGCCCATGGAAACGAAGAAAAAGAACTCGAACTCAGGTGCTTTCGGGCCTGGCCCGTACCTTGTGTCGAAGTTGAAGTTGTAGCACTTGGACCAGTCCTGAGAACACGAAGAGTGAACTGACAAGAAAAGCCTCTTGCAAGAGCTGAGCGCCACAACACGAAGTCCAAGAATTTTCAAAGGGGTGACGCCCACATTTGACGCTCAGTCTCCGCTGTCTGCGTCTTGGTGACGCGTTGCCTCCGTCGGGAAATCTTCGGGCACATTTAGGGGGGGGGGGGGGGTCCTTATTATAGGAGGGTCACACTCAGCGCGACCAGCCCAGCAGCTCACGCAAGAGCAAGCCATCCCCAAAGCCCATCCCAGAGCCATCCCAGAGCCTCCACTGCATCGCTTGGGCGGCTTGGGGCATCTTCTCGAGCATGAGCGGCTCGAAGTCGGGTGGCTCAGGGATCTGGGCGAAAGCTGGCTCTGCTCCGGCCCATACGCTCCCCCTGCTTTCCTCTCTACGTGCAGGACTCTTCAACGAGGCTGTGCCTTCGACGCCAGCTGTGGGATCTCTGCTCCCAGCACCGAGCCGCCCTCCGGTGGATACTCAGAACAAGCAAAGCAAAGAGTTCAGAGGGAGACCTCAGGAGATGGCAATAACAAGGCAGCTTCGCGCAGCTTCGCGCAGCTTCGCACAGCTTGGCACGGGTATGGAA